TACCTGTTGAACCTAATTTTATTTATATACATTTTTTAATAAAACATCCAATCAAATGGAAATTTGCTGAGTCTGCAGGTTTGCTGTGGCGGAGTTGTTTTACTCATAAAATAAGCTTAAATTTTTGGATGTTATAGTATCACACTAGTGAACTAAATAGGATAAATTATCATAATCCTTGAAAGTAACGGTCAATTTCCATGTGTTTCGCCTATTTTTGATAAATAGAAAAAACTAAATATACTTAATAACAAATAACTCAAAAACTGTTGGGTTTAGAGAAAGATGGTAAATACAAAAAATGTGTATTTTTAGATGACCTACATTTTGTATATTTAGCTTTTTCCTGTATCTCTAATAATAAAGTCACTATAGCGAAAAATACAGAAATATGCCGCCATTTTCCAATATGGCGGCCGTAGCACAGCTTCAATTTTAGGGGACTTTTAGTATGTTCAAAAGGAAGGTACACCCAACATCTGTACCAAATTCCCCGGTTGTGCTAATTTTTTTTGGGTCAAAACATATTTTTACTGTACTAATAATTTACTGACTATACATAGTTGCGCCAGAGTTTGCAATATATGATCACATTAATTCCCAAAGATTGTACTAATTTTGAACAAAAGAGTACAAGTGTTTACTTTTACGGACAGATTATTGTCGCAAGGGCGTTTAAAAGGTAGATTGCATGCATTTGAACTATGTTTGAATTTAATAGAAATTAAAAACAGAAATATATTTTAGAAATCTCTTATTTCGAATCATACTGCCTATCAACCTATTGCAATGATCTGATCAATAAAACTAGAGTGCATCCATCCATGTAAATACGCCAAAATTCAGCAAATGATATTAAAAATATGAATTCAAACTAAAATCATGTAAAAATTCTCCCAGACTTAGATACAAAGATTATGCAATTCTTTACGTTTAATTAGCTCAGTCGTTATAGGTACGTCAAGAAAACCGATTTTATGTGTTTATTATGTTTATTAGGTTTTTTTTATGTTTTTGTGGTTTTTATGCTGTTTAAACCATTTTAGAGTACACGTTTGACGAAATGCCAACAGCATTTCACACTGCCCGAATAAATCACTTAGATTAAATAAAACCACAGATTATTTCAACTATATGAAAAGTTCTTTTCCCATTTTTACAGAAGGAACCTCAAAGTTTAAGAAGGTAATTTTGGGCGACCCCGTTTTATCGCGGCCTTTTATGTTTGGTTGTAAACCGACGCTATGACAAAAGGTGTCTTATTTTTCTTTTGTCCCGTGTTTTCGTAGAATTACTCAATGTCAGCGTTAATAAATCTGGCCTTTATAAACTGTGGTTCTTTTCGTGACCCGAAAAATGTCTTCAAAGTAACAGTATTTTCTACGAAATACATGGTTTTATTTTTAATTTTGTAGCTATGTCAGTTGAAGGAGTCGATTTTGCCACCGAGGCTTTGAAAGTGTTTTTTAGACGCGTCATCCAAAATAAATTTTTCTCCTGTGTAATGAACATTATTTTCGTAATACTGCTTTTTAAAACTGTTTAGCCACTTTACTCACAAAAGTTTCATATATTGGTTTTAATCCCAGAATGGTTTACTTTTTGCTTCAAACTATTCTCAGCTGTTACCGATAGACGTGTTAGTTATCACTCCGTCAATAAGGTGTTAAAAATACAATTTTAATTACTCATGTATCTTCTTAGTCTGCCATTATAAAGGGGCTTAATTAAAATGAAGTTTCTAATTTGAAACTATGTTAATCATAAACTAATTCCAATAACGATGTTGAAATACAAATATTACGGGCTGGAACTATTAAAACAGAAAATGTTAAAAATATGTATAGCTGATTTCCTCGACTTCCAGCTGGCGTATGAACAAAAACACTCTTCATTGCATATGTTTAAATCCAAACTAGTAATTTATGTACCTAGGGTAAAGTGATGGAACAACATAGTACAAAACGATGTATCAATAGCGAGAGAAAATGTATACACAAGTTTTAAAATTAGAAAATCTAGAGTACAGCCACAGGTTTTGTAGAATAAAATAGTTCCAACTGAAAAATATACTACTCTATATATTTTATTTACACTGTATTGGAATTCAACAGGTTTGTCTATTTTACTACAATAAGTACCCAAGCAGCGGGTTTTCTGCTGTAATTATATAAGGATATTTCATTAATGTTTTCAGAACAATTAATTAGTTTATTTAATCTATTTCTTACGTCAACAAAACGTTTGATGCATTAGGAATAACTCCGCCAACGAAATGATACATACGTTGATACATAATATTTATATTAATCCTAATGCACCAACATTTTTGTTAACGTAGGAAATAGATGGAATAATTAATTGTGTCTTTATGTAATGAACAAATAGTAACACCTTTTCGTCAATGATATTTAACTTGTGTGGCAAAATTTACAGGGAAAATTTACACAATATAGTTTTGTGGAATATTTACCCTGAAAAATTTTTAAAAAAGATGCTAAATAGTTCATAAAACTAACCAACGCTGTCTTTTCGAATTTTATTTTTCAACCTCGGACTCTCTTTCGTTAAAATTCAGGTCTTACACAAAGGAGACAACATAGATTTTGGAAATGCAAAATAATATTGCAAAAATAATATGCATCTAGGTATACAATTACTTTTAAGAATACTGTGCATTCCCGCGTTAAAATCTGTGTTAGTATTAGAATATTGAGATTAACAGTTGAGTTCAAAGAGATCTGTCGTCAGAGTTGTGCAGCAAAGCGTAATTTCCTAGTCCTACATTTACTACTACAGTCTGCAACTGTAATTTGTGAGCAGTCAGGTAGTAACGTAGTAAAGTTGGAGACTGTAGTTACTAATCTGACATAGTCTCTCTGTCTGTTATATCTCAACTGAGGAGACATGTTCTGTACATGGGCTTAATTATAAGTTTTACTCTGTAACTTGCGGACAGGGTTTGGAAGTTAGACTGTGGATACAATATTGTGTAAGTAGGGGATATAGTTTTAGCGACAAAGAGGATTAGCTATTATCGTAATCATAATGAGAGCTAGACCCAAGACAGTTTTCTTTTAGTTTTTTATGTTATAATTAAATAAAAATTTCCTTGTTTATAGATATAAGATATTCAATTAGTTTTATATATTTTGTGCTTTATCTAATAACTAGCAGAGTACCCGTCCTTCGTACGGGGTTGGCAAATAAGTATAAAATGCGTATTGCAGTTATACTCGATATTTGCGTTTGCAATGTAAGAAGACACGGTTTGAGAAAATTTGCTTCCTCAAATTTATGGTATGCTATAGTATTACACATCTACAATAGCCATAATGTTCTGCCACTGCACCTACACAATAGAGAAAGATTAAATTATTAAAAATTCGCAAAATATCACAAATTATTCATGAAATTAAAAACATAAACATAACAGTAAACAATCCTACTTTGACAGTTCTCATTGCGTATCGCATTTTTTTTTGCTGGTTAGTTCAAATTAGCTCTTTTCATAAATAATGAAAAAATAATAGTGCTGCACCATATACATTTTTAACGTCTTTTCATATCATATAACCAACTCATTTAGTTGAAACAGTTGGCCAAATTCTTTAATTCCCTTTAAATATTCATACTCATAAGGTTAACATTGGGAACTACAGAGCCACTGGGGCGGAGCCCGAAAGGATTTTTGAGATAATAATATGCCTGTATGTTAATTGGGTATGTGAGCTATCATCATACCCAATTTCAGCCCAATCTGTCCAGTATTTTTCGCGTTTACTTGTCACAAACATACATACACCCATACATCCAAACTTTCTCATTTATAATATTGGTAGGATAATGGAATAAGCTAGCAGGTAAAATTACAGTATTAAACAAAAAATCAAAACACATATTTTATGAATACGTTTATATTCTGTTTTTGAATTCATTAAAACTCTATTTGCACACAACTTTGTTACTGAACGTTTTAAAAACAAAGCATATTTCTTGGAATTTAAATAAACTATTTTGGGTCGAGTAAATAAACGTTAATACGCTATTTTCCAAAGATACAAAATATACCGTCGTATGTGTTATTGGATGCAATGTATTTTAAATTTCAACTTTAAGCCACAAAGGATCAACCAAGCTATAGTAAAGTATGTGGTTCAATTTACCATTATTTGACGAGAAGAATGGTGTCCGGAAGATCTCAGATTTATCAAGAAGTCACAGATTTATGTATACTTCCGATTTATTTACAAAATATATAATAAACCTTCTCCTTACAAAAAGTGTATCGTTAAGATTGAAGCCTAAATAAAGAGAATTATAGTTTGATGTTTAATTGATTTAAAATAGTGTGGAAATGATGAATAAATGTATTCCGGTGTGTTCGGATCCTAGGTACGTGTTAACATTATTGAGCAACTTAATAAATATAATGATGGTACATAATTTTTCTCCAAGGGTATGTGAAAAAGTATAAACCGAAACATAATTTACCCAAACAAACAATGATGTTGGTAACATGATATTTTATCAATATCATTTACCATAGTTTGATATGGAAATTTGCCTTTTCTTAGGAGTAAAATCTGTTACGCATTCCTTTAAGTAGGGCCTATATTTGTTTAGAATTTAGTAACACTGGCGTATCTAAAAACATATTCAGCCGTTCATAACAAGTGAAATACATGATAATTTTAAATTGCTATATTCTAAAATCTCAATAAACTATGCGTGTCTACCAAACCCCATATTTCCATTCCAATAACAAAAATTAAATTTTACTACCCTTGGTAAAAATTCTAGTCAAAACCAAACATTACGCTCGACTTATTTACGTTCACCTCTTATTCAAGACATTACAAAATAAATGAATGGCTTTCCAACCCTTAATAGAGATTCGACGCGCACGCGCACAGGTGATCTAATGACAAAGAAAGTACAAAAACCACCGGACACAGCACTTGTTGAATTTAGAAATTTAATTTCCAACAGGACAATACCTTATGAAAGTAATCCTTGGAGGGTATACGCCGGAGATGCAGGAGCACAAGACACAAGCACTGAGCGACACTGGATAATACAACACGTGTGCAAGAGCTGAGACTACTGAGCGCTCGGAGACGAGACTACATCGATATGACTATCGGATCATTCGATAGTCATTCGATATGGTTACTGATTACTAATTTTCAAACACCGACTGGAAAGCTTGTTTTCTATTGGTGAGATGCTGTACTGTTGAATGGGTATTTTCTGGGAGTACTCTTAGAATTGTTTTGATTTATATTCCAAATTAAGAAGCATAGAACTTTAGACCTGTAGCATAAAGTTTAAATTCCAACAGATACAAAACTGATTTCCTGGATGTTTTTTAGCCAGTGATTTAAAGTGCTCTTATGTTAGCTCTAGCGTCTAAACTACAAGTGTATATAATGATTTTAAATAATATACAAGGACATAATATAGTCAAAGTATATTAGTTCTAGGTCCAGGTCTTATTATAACACCTACGACAATAGCTTATCCTTCGTATGGGAAATTGTGGGAATGAAATATGAGATTCGCTTCTCGGGTTTTGGGGTGTCCAGTTGAAATATATCATCACAAACCAACATCTTTAATCTATTTGCCGTCTTGTGAGTAAACAGTACTTTAATTACTTTTAACTGAAATGGCAACCATACGAAGGTACGTGTTTTAAGCCAAGTATGAATGGAGATGAGTGTAGGATGAGTGGAGCGATTTTGTAGTCTTGTTACTGACTAAGGCCGACTATAGTTCAGCCGCAGAAAGCGACTTCCTCCAGCATTGGTTTAGCATTAGCGTGCAGGTCGTTTTCTAAGCGGCCGAACTATACACCTTAGACCTATCCTTAGACACATATATTTCCTTAGTTAATTAATAGCCCTTACAACCAATGGCAACTGAGGGACTTACAATTTTATAGTGGAATCCGAACCACATTTTTTCCTTGTAAATTACGAATTGGTCGAACAATTAGGACAGTACTACGGATAGTCGTAGTACTCACTAGTGTGAACGTTAATCCACACCAGGGAGTACCGCATCCACAGTGCATGCCTAAAATATCCACAAGTGACCTCAAAGTAGTTGGATTACAGGACGACTCGGTCCCTCTACTTGCCTGGGAAAGTCTCTAAAGGTTAAGAAAAATCATTGTAATCCGTAACCAAACTAAATATAAAGCCTACTTTAAACAAATTTGTCAGTTTATTTGATGTTTCACATAAAATGAATGGGTAACTTGAACTGGTTTGTTAGTTGTTTATCAAGTGATACGGCATCAATGACAATCTAGCAATACAGGTCTCTATTGATTGAAATGTACTACTAACCACAGAGGCTTTAGAGGGGTCCCCACATCAATCCGTCACCACTGAGGTTTTTACAGAGGGTCGGTGACAATTCCTAAAACAGATAAGTTCTCTTTTTGAATTGTCGTATCAATTTTTACTCTATCAAATCATGATTGTATCCTTTTAAATTTTATAAGAACAGTGGAGCTGACCTTTTATATAATTTACGTATGAATAATTTAGAACAGTTTCTTGAAAGTTGGATAGGCAAAGCAGTCGTTGAGTGATAACCTGTTTATCTTACAATTTACAAACATTTTACAAGAAATCGTGGGGAGCGTGTACAACTCATGAATTCACTATCTAATCATTAAAACTATAAACACCGATTCATGCCCTTAACTCAACAATGTTTTTGTTATCCTTTTTTAATTCGTATACATAATAATTAAAGATTTTTACTTATTACGTACATAGATGAATGAATGAATGATTGAATGAAATGTGTTTATTTCCACATATTAGAGGTTAGGTCCACAAGGTTAGATACATATATAACCTAGAATTTAAATATATTTTTTTACAAATAAGTTCAATATTGTTTTTAAACATATTACTGGACTCAAAATTAATTTTTTACACCCCATAATGCGTTGTAATATTTAAACCATTAGGACGGACAATCCATTATAAATCATATCAAATAAAAAAAAACTGGCCTCTCAAAGATCATAATTTTTTAATCAAAATAGCACTTGGAGCTGAACACATTGTTATTTTTTTGTATCGAAAATTCTGGTCATGTTAAAGTAATGTTTGTCAAAATTGTTTTTAGAAATTGTTTTCATAGATTTTTAGTATGGATTGTTTTTACATAGTTTTCATAGATTATTTATATAGATTGTTTTATAGTTTATTAGGATTAAGGACAAGAGTTGTTTTGAAAAACAAAATGTATTCTTCTGAAAAACGCTTGCTAATAAAGACCTTTTTATTTATTTATTTATTATAACACCTGTGTAGGATTACTTATTCGATAGTTTTTTCGATAATCTACGGTTACCATATCGACTATCGCAATGTGTATGAGCGACTACAGCGCTCCAAGCGGGGGGTGGTAAAGTAGGAGCTGCGCGCTGGTTGGTCGATACTCAACTGCGAGCGGTTGTAAAAATATTCCTGATCAAGTACTACATTTCAAAATTTATTTTTTTGAAACAATACATCGTCAGCTAACACCTGTAGAATAAATACATTTACTTACGTGTAGAATAAATTTTTAGACGTTTTAATGATAAGCATACAAATGGCTATTCTATTTATTGTAAGGTACTATACTATTATAGAACTTTCTGTATATCCCGGTCAGGCAGAGTTTAAACACATTTTTTATCCATAAAAAACTTACAATTAATTCATAAATTGAATAGCATTTAAGTTGTCTAGTAGTTATTTATGTATTTTTTTTTTATTTTTTGTTTTTATATTATTCTTTCAATCCCTGTTTCTATCTATGTTAAATTTAACAAACAAAACTTCAGATGTATAAATATGCTACATGTTTTTTATTCGGATTAATGCCTGTGTTTAGAAAACTTTATAATTTTTTTAAAAAATTATTGAATTACTTAGCAATTAAAATTCTAACGCAGATAGTTAACACCTAAACCTTAAGCAGGAATCTCGTGTTCCTTTTTGGAAACCACATTTTACACGTGGCACAGTCAACCAAGGGTAGTGGTGTGTATCTAACTCAGGTAATTCAATCTTTGTCACTTGTGGCTACAGTTGCCGGACCACGTATCTTTGAAACAAGATATTATGAAAAAGTAACTTAATGTAAGATTTACTAACACGTCGTGTGTTTCGTGATCGTTTAGTAAATAGTTGTGTCACTAGTTTGCCTCTTTTTGTAATTGTTTGAGATACTGATTAAGTTTTTTAAAAATGAATTATTTTCACTCACGTAAAAACATACTAATCATGCCTAAAAACACATACATTAGTACTGTCATTACTTTGCCTATACAACCGTTAATGAGTTATTCAAATTTATAATATATATTAAAATTTGCTAAAATATGATAAATAAATAAATCAATACTGCAAAAAATTTCATTGTTTGAGTATTCAACCATTACAATCACTAATAATGTTACTGATAATGTTACTTTATAAATACTCTAGTGTTTTATAAAAGACTGTATTTTCCTCAATATATATAATTATGTTAGCACAATGATAAATGTTATTAAAATATAATGAATCGATATTATAAAAAAATATCCTTATCACTGTTTCATCAACATAACCTCTTGTTACTTCGCACGGCTCGTAGACGCCTTCAGACAACAAAACACAATTCTGATACAAAACACATTTTGCAGCTCGCCGTAGAATGAAGGCGAGCTTGAATAATAAATATTTATCTTATAATTATATTTATGCCTCAGTTTTACTATAATCTCCCTAACCTATTCAAACTAACATTGAGTACCTACATTGTAAAAATACTCAAAAGGGGAAAAAGGCTATAAAAGATCCACAATATATTTTGTTTATTGCACTGTCACTTTCAGTTTGAGAAATCTGTATAATTTAATATTTGCGTAATTATGAAACTCAAATACATTTTCATTTAATTTAATTTTGCATTTATTAATTACAAATTATGAGGATGTTTAACTGTTCAATCATTTTAATTTAATTACACACTATGTCCAAATATCTTCTGCATTACAACTGTATCTAAAAAAAAAAAAATAAAACTACAAGTTAGTAACTTAATTTACTATTACGATTACGAATAACAGAATAAAACCTGCTAAAACAGAAATCCCATTCAAAGTCCAAAATGGAATGAACTTCGTATGTACAACTACCGCTGATTTCCCAGCCCTAATTAAATAACATGTTTCAGTTGAAACGTTTTGTGGGTAATTTGTCAAATTACATGACGCAGTTCCAAGGGCGAAGTCAATCCAATGATATTTCTGAAAGCTTCACTAATTGACGAAACTCTCTCAAATCCAACTACACGATTAGTGTTTGTTTATGGTTTAATGGTTTGTATTTGTTCTACATTTTGGATATTTGATTAGCTGCTGTTCTTTGAAGAAGTAGAATATGTATTTTTTACACAGTATAAATAGCCTAAACTATGTTTATTGCTAAGATATATTTTCAGCTATGATTAACTCAAGCTATCATTGAAATGGAAATGTATGTTGCAGTTAAACATTTATGTAGACTTTTTTTACACGATAAAAAAAATTAAAAACATTTAACAGTCAGATTTTTTTAACACATGTTACTATTTGTAGTCTACACGAAATAGCATACTGTACTTTAAGCATAAATATTCAACATATTGTTTCAATAGGTTAATAATAAATTAAGGTAAGAACTAGCGAAACATTAGATTTAATAAATTAGGGATTGAATAAGCCACACTATGTGATTAACTAACTCAATTAACTGCACAGAAATCTTCCCCTGGAATCTCTTTACGCTTCCTAGCACTTAGTGAATCAAGGTAATAGATAAGGTAATTAGATTAAATAAATGAAGGGAAATACAAAAAATTGATGCAGCACTTTCATTAGTGTAATAAAAACTTCACAAAATGTACGTGTATGCATGATCAAGATAATTGTATTTAAGTACTTAAACATTTTTTTTAATATTTTGACACGAGTAGGGCCTACACGACAATGAAGCCAAAAGAAATCACTGAAATAAATTTCAAATTGTTAACAACAGTTAGTAATTCTATTTATT